TCCTTCCGTACGTCTGTCCGCACTCACAGGAGAGTAATTATGTGGCTGGAGGGACAATAGGTAACTGTTCTTTCTCTTTGATGTCATTCATTCCGTAATGCTTTTATGTGGCTATTTTCTTTTGCGTGGCTAAAAAACGTCCGTCCGTACGTCCCAAAATCTTGTGAACGCAACTCCTCTTAAACCGGATGGCAGATTTTGCTTAAACTTACAGGGATGAACAACCTTAATGTGTAGATGGTAGTAAAGAAAGGAATTTTTGCTGCGACCAAATTTAATAGAATTATGGCCCTTTGTTGATTTTTTTCACTATATATTATATAGAAATATTGTGAATGCTATTCCTCTTAAACCGGATGGCAGATTTTGCTTAAACTTACAGGGATGAACAACCTTAATGTGTAGATGGTAGTAAAGGAAGGAATTTTGCTGTGACCAAATTTAACAGAATTATGGCCCTTTGTTGATTTTTTCACTATATACCATATAGAAATTTTGTGAACGCAACTCCTCTTAAACCGGATGGCAGATTTTGCTTAAACTTCCAGGGATGAGCAACCTTAATGTGTAGATGGTAGTTAAGGAAGGAATTTTTGCTGCGACCAAATTTAACAGAATAATGGCCCTTTGTTGATTTTTTCACTATATACCATATAGAAATTTTGTGAACGCAACTCCTCTTAAACCGGATGGCAGATTTTGCTTAAACTTCCAGGGATGAGCAACCTTAATGTGTAGATGGTAGTTAAGGAAGGAATTTTTGCTGCGACCAAATTTAACAGAATAATGGCCCTTTGTTGATTTTTTCACTATATACCATATAGAAATTTTGTGAACGCAACTCCTCTTAAACCGGATGGCAGATTTTGCTTAAACTTCCAGGGATGAGCAACCTTAATGTGTAGATGGTAGTTATTGTTAAGGAAGGAATTTTTGCTGCGACCAAATTTAACAGAATAATGGCCCTTTGTTGATTTTTTCACTATATACCATATAGAAATTTTGTGAACGCAACACCTCTTAAACTGGTTGGCAGATTTTGCTTAAACTTCCAGGGATGAACAACCTTAATGTGTAGATGGTAGTAAAGAAAGGAATTTTTGCTGCAACCAAATTTAACAGAAGTATGCAGGCCCTTTGTTTATTTTTAGTTTTCAACTTGTGGCACTTGTAGTCCAAAATATATTTGACCTAGAGTCATAAGATTGACATAACAGTGGCATGTGCATGGGGGCATCCGTGTCCTATGGACACATTTCTAGTTTTTTGAGAGTACGAGACCCCTGGATGTATTATGCTCTATTATAGCACAAAAACTTTGTTTCGGCTTTCCTCGCCACCCCCTGTGGTCGACAAGCAATATTTGGCATGTAGCAACTGTTCGATTGTAGATTTCTACAAAAGTTAAAAATGACCCTTCGGTGAAAATTGGTCCTTCCTTGGCAGTCACTTCCTTTATGTAGAAAAAACACATCTTTTTGTGGTTAACAACAATACCCAGAGCTTCTATGTTTGGCACATATCATTGCCTAGTAAACCTCTATATTGAAAATGTTTTATTAATCATGCCCCCACCCTAAAATAAACGCCCCCACCCTTGAGGTTATTTAGTATCAATAACTTATTAAGCCTCAAAGGATAAGTGCACTTCATCATTTATTGATGGATTCTTTTAACACAAATATTTATTACCAATGTTATGCATTATATGTTACATATACTACATAATTTCTTTTCATAGTGAAAAGGTTCCTTAACAAATGCAAGGGGACAACCTATTTTGGGATTCTTTGACCAGGCGGCGGCACATTAGGTGTGAATTATACTTGCATATACAATGTTGGGTAAAGCACACAAGTGGAGAACAATCTGATGACCAGTGAACACTTACAATCTTGGATGGAAAAATACGGAAAAAGAATTCATCCACAAAGGCAGCCTTTTGTTGAAAATAATTATTATGTTGGCACTGTAAGTACATGTAAGTGTCCAGTGATACACTTTTAACAATTAAGAAACCCCAAAGGAAGGTGAATGTTAGTTATGTAAGTTCTTTATTCTAATTAAAATTTTACCACATGGAATTCAGAACTTTAATAAAATTAAAAAATTAATTTAAAATCCTTTTTGATTTGTACTAGCGTCACTTTTTTTTTAAAGAAAAAAATTTGCACTATTGCTGACACAGTTGTGTTGTTGTTGCCGTGCAGTAACATACCACTACACATTGCCACATTAATTTTAATGAATGACTAAAGGATGTCTTCATACTTGGATAAGAATTATGAATTTTGACCATTAACCTTTTTATTGTGGCTTTTGGTACATAAGGTCAAAACTGCAGAATCTTTTTTAATTGTCCTATGACTTTTTTAGCTCACGAGCTGAGCTAGCTGACAGGTTCAGCATTTTTAGGATTTGTTGAATGGTCCGCTTGTCTGCCGTCCGTCTGCTGTCCACATTGTGTGTTAACACTTTCCTTGTGGTCGACAATTTTGCTCATCATCATCAAAGCTTTTGGCAGAATGCTTGTCTAGGTAATTGCTCAGATGAGTATGAACAGTGGGTCTTTTCGGATGAAAAACAAGGTCACCACAGGAACTAAAAATAGAAAAATATTGTTAACACTCTGGTGGCTACTGTTTTTGATTCAATAGTCATCAAAACTTGTCAAGATGCTTGTCTAATTAAACTGCCTAGTTTGATGTGTCAGGTGAGCAATCTAGGGCCATCTTGACCGTTCTTGATTGTATTGCCTATATATAGAAGTGACGACATATTAGGGAACAAATTCTGTGTCATCTGTCTGTCCGTTTATCCATCTGTCCATCACAAAACTTTTGCGGACTACTACTTCAAAAACTACTGGTACAATTTCATCCAAAACTTTACAGGAATGATCAATACTAGGTTCATATTGTGCATAATATTGGCATTTTCCAATTTAAATGAATTATGTCAGAGTCAATGATTTTTATACCCCAACAAACAAAATTTAGTGGAGAATATAGTAGTCAGCTTGTGAGTTTGGGACCATTTATCCCTCAATCTTTCTCACTAGTTACAGGACGATAACTATAGTTTTGAATGAGATATTGTATCAATTGGTATGTTAACAACCTTTTATATTCAGACCTCGCTTCTGATTGTGTTTGGATCAAGGTCAGTGTCACTTTTACTAAAAATAGAAAATGGTTTTCTGTATAATAATGAGTTTTTAATCAGAGATATTGTAATCAAACACTGTATTTGGAAACCTCAATTGGGATTGTTGTTGGACCCCATTGTGTCAAGGATCACTGTCACGAAAAATAATGATTTCTGGACAATAATAGATATAAAATAAGATATTATGATCAAAAAAATTTATTATGAAGCAATCTTATAAGAAGACCCCATTTGGGATTGCTTTTGGACCCCCTGGGATCAAGCTCACTGTTACTTAAAAATCTTTTGTAGACAATTAAAGTTGCTAGGAATGAGATATTGTTACAGTATCTCGCAATCTTTTGAAGGGACCTAGCTTGGGATTGTTGTTGGGTCATGGTCATTGGCACTAAAGAAAAGAAAAATGCTTTCTGGAAGATGAGCAATTAATTGTAATAATTATTTGTATACTGTAAAAACATTATAGGTCGAGTTCAAATTATGCTTAAGACCATAATGATAGATCCCTGCTCTGACTTTTATTTGAATAACAATAGATTTAACCACAAACATTGACATGTGCTCTTTTATTAACAGATAGGTAGTGATTAAATTGTTATTGCATCCACTAATCTGATAATAAGAATTAGATAGGTCAAGGGATCTTATGCCTTGTTTTCCAAAACAGTTGCTGGTGGATTTTTTGTTTGTTTGATCCTGCCAATTATTTCAGGCACGAACGGGCACCTGAGTATAACCACCGACGTTTCCGTAAGCTAGCTTGATAGCTTCCTCACATGAAAGAATTCAAATTTTCCTGTAGGATTCGAACCCACAGTGGTGAGGCAAGGTGGTTTTTGAAGTCACCAACCTTACCACTTGGCCGGGGACGCCCCTTCTGGTGTATGTATGAATCACCTTTAGTGAATCAACTCTGAAATTTTTTATAGGATTGATCTATAGCTCATATGACGTACAGGGCCAGCAAAATCAATTGTCCGTATTGACCAGGTTGACCCTCAGCCTGTACGGACAAATGAAAATTTTCAAGAATTGACTATGTAAATATCATACAAACAAGTTAAATAATGATTTACATAAAAACAGAGGAGTAAGTCTAAATCTGACCTAAATCCCAACCAAAAAAATCTTTTAGAAAAGAAACGTGACCTTAAATGACCTTGACCGTCAACGTCATATTGAATTTTGCTTAAGTTGTTAACTTTAAAACTTATTGCAAAACTGGCATTTTGAAAACTTCAAATTTGAGCTCAGTGTGACCTTCACTTTTATGGTAAAGTGTTTAAATTTTGCTTTAATTGCAGTAACTTGTGGACAAATTTGAATCATGTCACAGGATGAGAAATATGTGCAGCCTGAACTGGACTTGAACCTGAGGCCCTCAGAATGCTGTTCCTTGGCTCTTATGACTGAGCTATCTGACTGCTTATACAATTTTCCCCTAAAAAGTGAACAGTTGTGAACCATGACGTGAAATACAATGACAAAACATGACTGCTAATAGTTGTTCTTGTTCATGATCTGTCTATCCATCACAAGAAGATTGTTACAATAAAAAATTAATTAACAATTTTAACATGAGTTATTTGCAATAAATATAAAAAAAGGTTGCTTTTGTCTATTATAATGATATTCAGGGAACCTCTGAATTTATATAATGATATCTGGATATAAGTATATCTGATAGGCCAAAATTCGAGAGTAGAACAACAAAACAACATTATGTTATCAGGGATAATGTTGTAGGTGGAGTTTACTGCAAGTTGTAAAATCAAAGATTCTCTCCACACAAAGAGTTAAAAGAATTATCATATATTTACAGTTAAGTAAGGGAAATTTTTCAAAATATGGGTGATTTATTCTGTTTTATAACTTCTCATCCAGTTTCATCATGGGCTCAGGAGGATTGACTATTAGTTGACCAAAATAAGCATAGTTATTATATGGCATGTTGGGAGTTTCATCATAAGTATAAATTTTTATGCTATTGGACTTTAATTATTTCAGGCTGGGTTTCTGATGTCTTCATACCTCCAGATAATTGGATTCTTAAACTTAACAGCAAGAAATGGAAAATCCATGTTGTTTTAAGGAAAGCAGAGCAACAAGAAAATCATGTACAAGAGCCTATGAAACAAAACAGAAAAGTAAAATTGTGACAGGCATATGGTAAGTGTTGGTTTAATTTTATTTGTCTACAGGCTTTTTCGTTCACCAGGGGCATCACTGAGGTTTTTTGACATGACGAGGCTGAACATGTTTTTTCCAGATAAATGCACCATTTGAAGCAGGTTTAGACCACTAATTTTTGTGCAAAATTTCAGATCATTCGCACACTTCGTTTTTCCAGAATAATTATTCAAATTGTAAAAAAATGACCCAAAATGAAAAGCATTTAAACGCTTTTCACTCAAATCGGGCTAAGAAAAGCATAAAAGTACGATTTTCAATTTATTTCAAAGTATATTTCTTAACTATCTTTGCATATAAGTCTGTTTAACATGCCCCAGCTCATTTTTGTAAGAAATTCAAATGTTAGGTTTTTAGGCTTTTAAACCTCAGTGGAGTCCCTTTAAGTGTTAGTATAGCAACTGACTTTAGCTTACAAAACCCTACTTTAGTCAAGTATGCTTGTTCACGTATGTTTGTTTGTTTGATTGGGTTTAAGTCACAACACAGTATAGGTCATTTGGTGACGTTCCAGCTTTACTGGTGGAGGAAGACCTCAGGTGCCGTTCAGTGCATTAATTCAGGCACGAACGGGCACCTGAGTAGAACCACCGATGTTCCGTAAGCTAGCTGGATAACTTCCTCACATGAAAGAATCCAAAGTCCCTGTCAGGATTCGAACCCACAGCAGTGTGGGGCAAGTGGTTTGAAGTCAACGATCTTAACCACTCGGCCACGGACGCCCCATGTAAGTATGTAATATAAACTAAAACAAGAATACTGAAATGTGTAGATTGACTTCACAATATGAACTATTTAAGAGTTTTGTTATTTCTGTCCATTTTTTTAAGTGTGCAATTTATTGCAAGTTTGTAAAATCACACATAACTTTAAACTTCATAGTTACTATACACATGTACATGTATTTTATTTTTTACGGATGAAATAAAGTTGCAACATATATAGTTTATATAGTCATGTTGTTATTGTTGAGCATTGTTTTTTGGTTTTTGTTTTTCTTTCACAAAAAACTTATATTTACAAGATTTAGTTTGTACATATTTATTTACAGTGCAAGGGAGGCAACTTAAATTGGGTTTTTTGACCAGCTGGCCCAGTATGTAACTAAAAAAGTAAGGTAGATGTTTAAATTTGTATAAAGTGATTTGTATTCAAAGAATTTATTTTTTATTAAAGAAATCAGTTTTTCATTGTTGTAAAAGTTAGTTAAATTAACATAAAATTTAGTTATTCTTAGTTTAGAACAGTTATAAATAATTTGTGAATAATTATATAAATTTAATACTACATGTAAATGTAAAAAAGATTAAATGAACATTTATAAGCATTGTGCTTGTGGGTTTTGGTCATTAACATTAATATATAATTACAACTCTTCCTTTTATTTTATCATTAAAGATGTTACATGAAAGAAATCCCTTACAAGATTATATCAAAAGTATAAAAAATATGTAACAAATATGTCTACATAGTCTATTTCTTGACTTCAGGATTGAGAAGTTACATATATAATCAGTGGAAGGGAGACAACTCATATTTTGATCCCTTGACCAACTATCCAGACAGATTTTATTATGAAATGTGAAGAAAGTACAGGTAAGAATTTATCACATTTAAATAACGGGAGACATTAATTGACTGTTGATTTTTTATCTATCCAGACATTAGAAATATCATGTTGTCTGTTTTGAACCCAGTAAACAATATTCAAATTTTTATATAATAGGATAATTTGCAGGGCTTTCAGGTTTCAAGTTGTGATAATGTTGTACAGGCAATTTTGTTTATTTCATTTCATGATTTGACATTATCCATCAACAAATTTCTACCAAACAAAACAAAACTGGGTAAAGTACTCTCAAATTATTGAAATGTGCTGAAATTGTGATAACTTTGCAGCAATATAAGTGTGGCCGTTAAACGTTATCTTTAATAATTCAATGCTTAAAATGATCTTCAACAATGTTTTTTTTTACTTAAAGAAATTTTCTAAAACTTTGTTATTAAACTGATGTATTTAGTTAGACATTCAATAAAGAAAGCATCAGATTATTTATCCAGTTGCCCTGAGTTCAATCCTCGGGCAATGTTCCTGCTACTATACCTATTTAACAATTCATGGTACAAAATTTGGCCAATATATTAATAATATAGTCATTTTTCTTTTGTGGTATTTCTTTAAAACATCTGATTCTGTATTTACCCATTTCTTCATTAAGTATTATTACAGTTTCAGATGGCATTTTTCAGACAGAAATTTGTGTTGGAATGATGGCGATCTCTTCTATCAGTAAGAGAATGAGGTAAAAGCAATATTTGATTATGAAGACAGCAACTGCCCTCTATGGCTGTGTGTTGTTTTTATGTAGACAGTTATTTTCTTTTGACTGCTCGCCGTGATTACATTACATGTCATCTGCTTATTTAGTGTCTGCAGAGCATTCATAAAGTTTGAACCTCAACGTCAGGAAATTAAGGAGGGAAAAATTACAAATACCTTTTAAAGTTTCTAAAGTTTTATTAAACAGCTTAATCAAGCAAATATATAAATTAAGGGAGCGACTAATTTCCATAGGTGACTTTAAATCCATAATCCATAGTCGAGGCTAATGACCACTAAATTACCCAAACAATTTCCTTCCCTGTAAACATATTCGGGGTCTTAAAAACTTTATTTTAATAATTTTGCCAGACCGAATGGCATTTTATAAACAAAATTAGTATTTTGTTTAGTTAATTCATGACCAAACTATACTGTTACATTCATAATGGGCACAGTAAATAAAGTAAGGGTAGCCTGCTAAAGTCACACATGGAAACAGTAAATGAAATTTAAAAATATATCTTGGTAACCTATTAGTCACAAATGGACACATCCACAGTATATGTAACAATAAATTATGAATAAGGGTAGCCTATTAAAGTGACATATGACTGCAGTATTAAGAACATTCTCTATACCTAGAGACATATTTGAGTCACATATGGCAACAGTATACGGAACATCGAATATAGAAGTAATTGCAGCCTAATAAAGTCACACATGGCCACAGTATAAAGAACTTTCTATTTAAGTAAGGGTATCTATTAAAGTCACATATAGACATAGTATATGGAACCTTATAAATAAGTAAGGTACCCTTATAAAGTCACACATGGCCACAGTATATAGAACATTCGACATAAATAAGTGAAACATATTTGAGTCGGACATGGCCACAGTGTATAGAACATTCGACATAAATAAGAGAAACATATTATAGTCGGACCTGGCCACAGTGTATTTAACATTAAAAATAAGTAAGGGTAGTCTACTAAAGTCAGACATGGCCACAGTATATAGAACATTCCATACAAGTAGGGAAAATCTAATTGAGTCACACATGGCCACAGTGTATTTAACATTATATATAAATAAGGAAACCCAAATTGAGTCACACATGGCCACAGTATATAGAACATTCCATATAAGTAAGGAAAACCTAATTGAGTCACACATGGCCACAGTGTATTGAACATTATATATAAATAAGGAAACCCAAATTGAGTCACACATGGCCACAGTATATATAACATTCCCTATAAGTAAGGAAAACCTTATCCAGTCACACATGGCCACAGTGTATTTAACATTAAATATTAGTAAAGGTAGTCTACTAAAGTCAGACATGGCCACAGTATATAGGAATATCTATATAAGTAAGGGAAGCATAACTGACTCACACATGGCCACAGTATATTGAACATTATCTATAAATAAAGAACCTTAATTGAGTCACACATGGCCACAGTATATAGAACGTTCCATATAAGCAAGGAAAACCTAATTAAGTCACACATGGCCACAGTGTATTTAACATTAAATATAAGTAAGGGTAGTCTACTAAAGTCACACATGGCCACAGTAAATAGAACATTACATATAAGAAAGAAAAACCTAATTGAGTCACACATGGCCACAGTGTATTTAACAATAAATATAAGTAAGGGTAGTCTACTAAAGTCACACATGGCCACAGTATATAGAACATTCCTTATAAGTAGGGAAAACCTAATTGAGTCACACATGGCCAGAGTGTTTTTAACATTAAATATAAGTAAGGGTAGTCTACTGAAGTCACACATGGCCACAGTATATAGAAATATCTATATAAGTAAGGGAAACAAAACTGACTCACACATGGCCACAGTATATTGAACATTATCTATAAATAAGGAAACCAAGATTGAGTCACACATGGCCACACTATATACAGCATTCCATATAAGTAAGAAAAACCTTATTCAGTCACACATGGCAACAGTGTATTTAACACTAGATATAAGTAAGGGTATTCTACTTAAGTCAGACATGGCCACAGGATATAGAAATATCTATATAAGTAAGGAAAACCTAATTAGGTCACACATGGCCAGAGTGAATTTTATATTAAATATAAGTAAGTGTAGTCTACTAAAGTCACACATGGCCATAGTCTATAGAACATTCCATAAAAGTAAGAAAAACCTAATTGAGTCACATATGGCCACAGTGTATTTAACATTAAATATAAGTAAGGGTAGTCTACTAAAGTCGCACATGGCCATAGTCTATAGAACATTCCATGAAAGCAAGGAAAACCTAATTGAGTCACACATGGCCACAGTGTATTTAACATTAAATATAAGTAAGGGTAGTCTACTAAAGTCACACATGGCCATAGTCTATAGAACATTCCATAAAAGTAAGAAAAACCTAATTGAGTCACACATGGCCACAGTGTATTTAACATTAAATATAAGTAAGGGTAGTCTACTAAAGTCAGACATGGCCACAGTATATAGAACATTCAATATAAGTAATGAAAATCTAATTGAGTCACACATGGCCTCAGTGTATTTAACATTAAATATATAAGTAAGGGTAGTCTACTAAAGTCAGACATGGCCACAGTATATACAACATTCCATATAAGTAAGGAAAACCTTATTGAGTCACACATGGCCACAGTGTATTTAACATTAAATATAAGTAAGAATAGTCTACTAAAGTCAGACATGGCCACAGTATATAGAAATATCTATATAAGTAAGGGAAACAAAACAGACTCACACATGGCACCAGTCTATTAAACATTATCTATAAATAAGGAAACCCAAATTGAGTCACACATGGCCACAGTATATACAACATTCCATATAAGTAAGAAAAACCTAATTGAGTCACACATGGCCACAGTGTATTTAACATTAAATATAAGTAAGGGTATTCTACTTAAGTCAGACATGACCACAGGATATAGAAATTTATATATAAGTAAGGGAAACATAACTGACTCACACATGATCAAAGTATATTGAACATTATATATAAATAAAGAAACCCAAATTGAGTCACACATGGCCACAGTATATACAACAATCCTTTTAAGTAAGGAAAACCTAATTGAGTTACAAATGACCACAGTGTATTTAACATGAGATATAAGTAAGGGTAGTCTTCTAAAGTCAGACATAACCACAGTATATAGAACATTCCATATAAGTAAGGAAAACCTAATTGAGTCACACATGGCCACAGTGTATTTAACATTAAATATAAGTAAGGGTAGTCTACTAAAGTCAGACATGGCCACAGTATATAGAAATATCTATATAAGTAAGGGAAACATAAGTGACTCACACATGGCCACAGTATATTGAACATTATCTATAAATAAGGAAAAATAAATTGAGTCACACATGGCCACAGTATATAGAACATTCCATATAGCAAGGAAAACCTAATTGAGTCACACATGGCCACAGTGTTTTTAACATTAAATATAAGTAAGGGTAGTCTACTAAAGTCACACATGGCCATAGTCTATAGAACATTCCATAAAAGTAAGAAAAACCTAATTGAGTCACACATGGCCACAGTGTATTTAACATTAAATATAAGTAAGGGTAGTCTACTAAAGTCGCACATGGCCATAGTCTATAGAACATTCCATAAAAGCAAGGAAAACCTAATTGAGTCACACATGGCCACAGTGTATTTAACATTAAATATAAGTAAGGGTAGTCTACTAAAGTCACACATGGCCATAGTATATAGAACATTCCATATAAGTAATGAAAATCTAATTGAGTCACACATGGCCACAGTGTATTTAACATTAAATATAAGTAAGGGTAGTCTACTAAAGTCAGACATGGCTACAGTATATACAACATTCCATATAAGTAAGGAAAACCTTATTGAGTCACACATGGCCACAGTGTCTTTAACATTAATTATAAGTAAGGGTAGTCTACTAAAGTCAGACATGGCCACAGTATATAGAAATATCTATATAAGTAAGGGAAACAAAACAGACTCACACATGGCCACAGTATATTGAACATTATCTATAAATAAGGAAACCAAGATAGGGTCACACATGGCCACAGTATATACAACATTCCATATAAGTAAGAAAAACCTTATTGAGTCACACATGGCCACAGTGTATTTAACATTAAATATAAGTAACGGTAGTCTACTAAAGTCACACATGGCCACAGTATATAGAACATTCCATATAAGTAAGGAAAACCTAATTGAGTCACACATGGCCACAGTGTATTTAACATTTAATATAAGTAAGGGTAGTCTACCAAAGTCAGACATGGCCACAGTATATAGAAATATCTATATAAGGAAGGGAAACATAAGTGACCCGCACATGGCCACTGTATATTGAACATTATCTATAAATAAGGAAACCCAAAGTGAGTCACACATGGCCGCAGTACATACAACATTCCATATAAGTGAGTAAAACCTAATTGAGTCACACATGGCCACAGTGCATTTAACATTAAATATAAGTAAGGGTAGTTTACTTAAGTCAGACATGGCCACAGTATAAAGAAATTTATATATAAGTAATGGAAATGTAACTGCCTCACACATGGCCACAGTATATTGAACATTATCTATAAAGAAGGAAACCCAAATTGAGTCACACATGGCCACAGTATATAGAACATTCCATATAAGTAAGGAAAACCTAATTGTGTCACACATGGCCACAGTGTATTTAAGATTAAATATAAGTAAGGGTAGTCTACTAAAGTCAGACATGGCCACAGTATATAGAAATAGCTATATAAGTAAGGGAAACATAACTGACTCACACATGGCCACAGTATATTGAACATTATATATAAATAAGGAAACCCAAATTGAGTCAAACATGGCTACAGTATATACTACATTCCATATAAGTAAGGAAAACCTAATTGAGTCACACATGGCGACAAAAAAATGTTACAATTTAACATTAAATATAAGTATGGG